ATAGCTCTTCAGGAGTGAACTGAGCTTGGGTACCCTGTTCAGAGCCTAACTGAGTGTTGTGGTGTTGTTCAGAAGACATGATGTGTGGGCTGGATGATAGAAGGAATTATGTTGTTGATATAAGGTGGGTTTTCTGTGGACTGGAGCGGGTGGCAAATCTTCTTATGATCCTTCTTCCTTTATCCAACTCCAATTACACTGTTCTACAGTGGGTGGCAAATTTTTCTCTGGGTGGCAAATCCTTCCTGAGGATGTTTTCTTGGTTGTTTTTGGGATTCCCAGGTTGATGAAGAAAAGTATTGGTTGAATAGAGTACAGGGGTACTTGGGGGACTGGGATAGAGCAAGGACAATTGGGTGACCTATGAATACTGTCACGGGCGGGGTCTTATCCCCAAAGGGTAAGCAAGGTGACTGAAATGGGGCTGTAACCCAATACTTGTCTCGGGCTCGTAGAGCTTGAGGAGTATACAGAGGTTGACAAGGGACTGAGGGAACTGAGGGAACTGCAAGATGTCAGGCTGGATCTGACTGGACTGACAAGTTGAGAATGAGATTCAACATGAGATTCAACATGAGATTCATAGGTGGGGAACAATAGATGAAGGGCTCAGGGGTTCAGGGGTAGGTGTTTCATGTGTGGGAGTGTAAGAGATAACAATAGGGATTGTTGATGGAGATCAAGAACAATAAACCTAAGCCAAAGGGGGTCAGGGGAAGTGTTCCAGATGTGTTTCAAGTGTGGGAACACGAGAAAAGACTATCTTAGGTGGCAAGTAGGTGATGTATGACACCTATGGCGTACGAGCCACCACCGTCCATCGGCTGGTTAGGCCCCCGGAGTAGTTCTCGAGTCCCTGCTTCTGCTCAGACTGCTCTCGATCTCCTCAGTCTTCCTTCCGAGTGTCTTAGGACCATACGTTCTCTGTGGAGGACTCCGAGCATGCAAGCTGCTCGGGATGTCCAGGACTTTGGTGATTTCTTTGGGGCTATGAATCGGGCATGGAACGCTTCTCTCTCGACTGTTTTCCCCCCTGACAGTCTCGATCTACCCTCGGCCATCGGTACTCTCCACACCAATCTCGCGGGACCGAGTAGAGCGAAGGAGAAAGGAAAAGGAAAGGGTAAGGATACGGGCAAGTGAGCGGTACGTAGCTGTAATCCTATGTTGTATGCAGTACGTTCTACCTCCTAGCCCTCCGCAGTCGCCCTTCCTTCGGCTTGGTAGGATGAAGTTCGTGGAACTTCGCCAATATGTCATCAGCTCCATCGACGTTCTCTACCAGTTCCCATGATACCGAATCGTCTGTTCCTTCGTAACCTAACCACTCTACTAAGTACTCTAACTTTCCTGATCTTTTATTTACTCTAGAGTCCACAATGTCCTTTACTTCCCACGATTCTCCTATGTTATCTACCTCTACTGGGCCAGGTGGTTCAGCTTGCTGACCAGGGAATACTGGAGGATGATAGGGGCGGAGCAATGAAACATGGAATACATCATGGATACCTGCCATCGTTCCTGGTAATTCCAATTTACAAGCATGAGAACCTACCTGCCGTACTACCTTGTACGGCCCACTTTGCTTCACATCTAGCTTCTTCATTGGTCTTTTAGTCTTGATGTTCTCTAATGACAGCATTACTAGGTCACCTTCCACGAAGTTCGGCGTAGTCCCGGTGTTTCCTGTTGTATCCTTCGGCGTACTTCTCGTTAGCTCTCTCAATTCCCTCAATACATTCTTTATGTATTTCGGTTAGGTCTTTTACCACCACTGTAGCAGC